GTCGCTGTAACCAGTATCAAAAGGCGCATCTTTATCCCCTGTGGGGACACATACTCCTTAGGCCCAGCTCCGGAGCTTGCCCAAGTGGCTGACCTGTGGTGCAGCAACATCGGCGCTGCTCGTTTAGCAAGAAAAGCATTAACCGAAGCCTTAAGGCAGCTGAATAAAGCCTGCAACCAGCCCTCACCGCGTCCTCCAGGCCGAGGCGGTAACGGAGCTCCACCGGCGGTAACGGAGCTCCACCACCGGCACCGCTCCCCCCCCCCCCCGCGTGGGCCTGACCGGACACCAGCGGCGCGGGGCGAGCAGGGCTGGGCGCTCCGTGCCCCCGGGGCGGGTACGCACCTGCGTGCGGGGCTGCGCGGTGCAGCGCGCTGTACACGGGGATGCGGGAGGGCTCCGCGCTCATGGCGGCCGCGCTCCGCCGCCAGCCGCCGTTTGAATGAGCCCGCCGGTAACGGCCGCGGTGTGCGCATGCGCAGAGCCACCCCCCCCCCCCCCGAGCCACGGGGGGCAGTGCGCGCAGGCGCAGTGCGGTGGGTGTGAGCGCGGCTCGGCGGCAGTCACCTCAGGGCGGGCGCCGCGGGCATGGCGGGTTCTGTGGGCAGGATGGAGCTGGTTCCCTTCACATCTGCCCTCAGGGGAGCCGGCTGCTGGCGGGCATGGGCTCCCGCTGCCTTGCACTGTGCCTTCGGGCAGCCCTCAAGGGGCTTTGGGCTGTGGAGCCCTCCCCGCCTGTGCCATCGGGGTGTGAGGAGTGCTGCTTGTGTCTGAGGCGGTTACGTTACCCTTCACACGCGCTGTAAGGCGAAAAGAGGCGTTGTGTAAAATGCTGACGGACTTTATTGGGTGTTTTTGTAGTGGTTTACAGCAGAGTGCTCAAAACGGGTGAGAAATCCCCTCAAATAGCAACAGCTCTGGTGTGGAGCGGGGTTCGGCCAGGGATGGCTCAGGGCGTGAGGGCGGCTCCGGCTGCCAAACACCCACCAGAACACCCAGTATGGGAGCACCAGGACACCCAGTATGGGAGCACCAGAACACCCAGGGTTAAGACTGCACCATGGAAACGTGAAGCTGAACGTGTCGTGTATCTCAAACACGGTTATTCGCTGTAAGAAGGCGTATTCCCAAAGCACATCAGGCAGCTGTGGCCTGTCTCCCACAGAGCACAAAAAACTACTTGTGGGTGTCAGAGGGAGCAGATCTTGTTCAGATGTATGCTTTCCTTTTGGTGGTTATACTGGAACACATATTGAAAGATGGAGAAAATGAAGCTCGGTGTTGGTGCAAATGAAGCATCACTCAGGTTTAGGAAAGTTTGCCATACGCCTTTATTTTACGTCAGCTTGTCTAGAGAATGTTTTCTGTTGTTCAACAGAGCAAGGCAAGGAAGGGTTTGTTTCCCTGCTCGTTTCTCATAAAAGAAGATGTAAAAGTAAAGCTTCACCAGATAAACTTTATTGAGAGCTACACACTTGTGGGGAATGCCTCGAGTGGAAACAGCCTGTGAAGACAACACACGAAGCACCTGAGTCACCGAGGGACGAGGACACTTCTCAAAGGGGCAAGCTCACACCGAACATCTTTGGCAGTACCGGAATTGCTGCTGATTAAACCAGACTGAAAGTGTTACTGGGAACAGTAACAGGGGGCTGGGTTCTGCAGCCCTCCCCCCTAGGGTCAGGAAGAGACTGTGCCAACTCAGATGTTGGTTTAGAACATCTGGACTGTCTGATGAGATCTGTGAACCTGCACTTCACATAAAGTAGTTTCTGATTCAATAGAAAACAACTTCATTAACAACACACTCTTCACTTAATATCCAGATTTGCAATAGCTGCAGGTTTTTTTTCTCTCCCCCCTCCCCCAAGCTCTCTTTCTCAGCCATTAAATATCTGGGGAGATTCACTTCATTATTTCTCTCCTATGTGACCTTGACAAGAAAACAAAATCTAATCACCTTGTAAGGAATGACAACACAGGTTTACTCAATAACATTTGCAGTACAGCTGTGAATATGGCACCAGACACTGGAAGGTCAAAGGGCTTGGACTCCATCAAGACTGATCTCACATCCTCTCTAATATCAGATTTGCTGGTTCTGTGGAAACACAGGTAATTGCACAGCTGAAATACTTAGAAACAGTCTCAGCTCCAGGAGAGGTGGGAGGAAAAAACTGATATTTACAGTTAAAGGAAGATTTCGACTTCCTCTTTCCCTAGAGTACACTTCTGTTTTCTGCAAGGTTTCAGCTGTTGTAACCGGAACTTTGTGCACTCGATCGTTTGATCCAAACGTCAGGCATGTCTGGCTGGCTGTTTGGTAGCACAACTGGACTCTCACTCCCTAAGCCAAATCGATTCTTCCACGAAGAGCTGTTCTGCTGCGATGCTGCTGGAGAGATATCAAAGACAGTCTCCCTCAGGTCCAGCCGCAGGGTATCTCTCTTCCCGTTCAAGTAACCCCTCTCTGCTTGACTGTACGAATCAGACAGCTCTAAGACATCAGGACAAGAACTGGCTGATTCAGCAAGCTTTAGGCCTTGCTCCAAATCGCTGATCGACGTCTCACTGGAGATGTTGAGCATGTCGAAAGAGCTGCCGAGAGAACAAAGGCATCTGTGATTTTTGTAGATGTCAGCAGCAGGGAGATGGCTGTTGTCTGAGGTATAATTTGGCTGCTGCTGGGCAGTGTCACTACAGCACTGTGATTTATTGAGCTGCCCTTCTTCTTTCATGGCAGCCGGCTGGACGTGGTCCAGCCCAGACCCATCCCAAGCTTTCAGGCCATACTTTCGACATCGACAATCTCGGCAGAGTCTCTCCCTCTGAATTTCTGCTTCTGAGTTGCTGTGCTTATAAGGAGAGGAAGTTTGCAGGGCAGGACACTGGCACAGGCCAACCTGCTGCTCTCCAAGGGTGTCCTGCAGATTCCGTCTGTCTCTCTCAAGGGAGGGGTGCATTCCTGTTCGGGGGCATCTGTTGTCTTCAACCTGCGTGTCTTCTGAGAGCACTGAGGGCCGGTTGGACAGCTTGCTTGTGGAAGTGCTGTTGTCAAAACTGTCGCTGAGCTTCCTGGACAAGGGCTGGAGCTCGTATTGCTCGTTCGCAGTGTTGGATTCCTGCACCTTCCGCAACCGGTTTTGCTTCTCGCTCCCCCCACAAGCAAAGCTTCCGTTCAGCCCCGAGTCATCAGAATAGTCTTTCATGGTGTGGGCACAAGGCCAAAGGATCTGCCCACAGTTCTTCTCTGGGCCAAAGAAGCAGCACAGAGACTGGAAGAAGAAACTGGCAAAGCCACAGCTGATGCACTTGATCATCATGATGAATATACCCAGCTTCCTGTACGCCAGGACTGTAGCAGGCAGCATAATGACCCCTGCAGAGAAGAGAGCAGAAGCTGCCATGGCAGTGGCACAGCTCATCTGCTTCAGGGAAAAGGCCACGCGGCTCAGTCGGTCCGAATGGGGGCACAGATGGTAGGAGATGCAGTAGTTGACTGTAAAGTCAACAGAGAGACCTACTGCAGCTGAAATGAAGAGAGACTCCACTGCATTGAGCTGCCACTCCAAGAGGACCAAAAGGCCAATGGTTACCAGGACAGTGCCTGCAATGGCAGTAACAGAGAAAACACTGAGGAGAACATTCCAGGTAGTGAGCAGCAGCACCACAAAGGAAATGGCTATGGAGAGCCCCATGACCACCATCGTTTCTGTGCTGAGACTGTGCTGGAGGTTGTATAGCTCTAGTTTACTGGTAAACCACCCATTCTGGAGCCCCATGGGGGCAGTTTTCATTTCCTCTGTTACCCAGAGGTCAATCTCCTCATAGAACTGTTTGGCTTTGCTGTAGTTGAAGCTATAGTGATAAATAGTTTGAAACTGCAGCACTAAGGCAGCGAGATTTCCCTCCCCATCAAACCTGAGGCCCAGGTCATACGTTTCTGCCCCTTCCCTGCCCTGTTCCAGGAGCATCATTTTGATGCAGTGCAGGAAAACTTCGCTTCCATACGGGAAAGAGAACTGGTTACAGCACAGGTTGAAGCTGTGGTCTCGCTGGGAGCACTGGCGACTGTTCATCCACCTGAGAAACTCCTCCATGAAGCACACAGTAGATTTCTGCTCTGCATCAGGGTAATAGAAAGTTTTGTTCTTCACTTTTTGGCAGAATTCAAGGAGCCACTTCTGGGCATCAGGGTTTTGGATTGTGAAGGTGACATCTGTCACCAGGGTGCCATTGCTTTTAGGGTTGAAATGGTCCCCATTATCCACGGGCAGAACACCCCAGACTATGGTGACAGGCATGCGCTGCCCTTCTCCATGCTCCAGCCTCTCAAACATGAACTGGTGGCAGTACTCAGAGTCGTACCTCTCGAAGGGGTGGCTCAGTCTAAACACCTGGAGAGATGATGTCTCCAGAGTTGGAAGCTTGAGTTTGGGGTTGGAACAGGAGATGTAGGCACCTCCTATTGCCAGGGCAGCAAACCAGCAGATCCAGATGTACCGAAACTTGATGACCCCACAAGGCAGAAGCTTCTCAAAGAGCAGCTTGGAGGTTTCAGACAGCGTGTTCTGGAGACCCCTGAGAACGTAATGGAGGGAGAGAGTAACTCTCTTATGGCCGCTGTTGTTCCAGTAGTCTTCTGGCTTGTAAATGCAGGTGGTTGCTATGTAGCGCTCATACAACACAGCTGAAGAAGGGAGCCAGGTCACCATGAACACCAGGTTCACCAGCACGGCGGTGCCCATGTAGATGGCGAAGCAGCGGATGGCGGTTATGTTGCTAATGTAGCTGGCATAGAAGGCAGCACCCGTTGTGAAGCAAGATGCCAGCATGAGATATGCAAAATGATGCATGGTTTGACTCACCCACTGAGAAAGGCCCGCAGAAGGGTTCTGGTTCTTGCTGAGGTTCCAGAGGTCGAAGAAGACGAAGGTGTGGTTGGCACAAATGCTGCTGAGAATGATGATTGCCGTCAGGTTTACAAAAGGGAAATAGGTGAATCTGAAGGCCACCTTGTACAAGAAGTAGGAGATCATTAAGGAGCTGACAACAGCGAGCAGGACCATCAAGGTAATAAAGACTGAGCGTAAATAAAAATAAATGCTTAGAAAAATAGCTACTATTGCCAGGACTGGGTACTTAGTATCCAGTAAAAGGTAGTGTTGGAATAGTTTCTGTTTAAGGCCCAGGTCCATTCCAGTGATCGATGTATAGTTATCAAACAGATCCCAAGATTCGAGATTGTCTAAGTAGATCCCCATCATAGATGCACCTTTCCTTGTAGGCAGAAACAGCAGGCTGTATTTGAGAGATGGCACTTGGTACTCCATTGTCTGGGGACTGAGAAAGTCCCTGTCGACCAAGAAGTGAAGAAGCTGGTAGATGGCATTGAAACGGGTGCATTTTTCTGGGACTTGGGCACACTGAGAGTGTTTCTGTCTCACAGGCTCAGGACCTATGCAGGATGGAGTGAGGATACCTTTGTGGTAGTCTGGAGCACAGGCACGAAGGAGAGCCAGGGTATGGGAGATGTCTCCTTGGGTTATCTCCAGACACGAAGACCTGTTGTACAGGACAGCAATGTAGTTCCCCAGGGACCAGCTTGGGCAGCATTCATTGGCTTCAGTACGTTGGCAGAGGTCTCTAAAGTGAACATGGGAGCGTATCTGAAAAACAGATGGGGGGGGGTGTCATGTCAGGCCCCCTCTGCACGCAGAGCCACAGTGTTCCTTGTTCCTTGCGCAGCCCTCCCCTCCAGGTGCAGCAGTCATGCCTCTGGAGAGGGGCTTTTGACATGGTCCTTTAGGGACAGGCCAAGGGGAATGGCTTTAACTTGCCAGAGGGGAGACTGAGATGAGCTCTTAGGCAGAAGCTCTTCCCTGGGAGGGTGCTGAGGCGCTGGCACAGGGTGCCCAGAGAAGCTGTGGCTGCCCCATCCCTGGCAGTGCTCAAGGCCAGGTTGGACACAGGGGCTTGGAGCAAGCTGCTCCAGTGGAAGGGGTCCCTGCCTGTGGCAGGGGTTGGAGCTGGAGGAGCTTTAAGCTCCTTTCCAACCCAAACCATTCTGGGATTCTGTGATTTATAGTTTGTAACCTCTAATGTGGAACTTTGGGTCCTATGGCAAATACAGCTAATCCAGTTAAACTTCCCACTCACAAAACTTGCTGTCACAGCCTCCAAAATTATAGCTCCATTTTAGTAATTAGGTTCTGCTGCCCCAAATTCTCAGCGGCTTCTGGCAGACACCTTTGGCTCCTGGACCAAGTGCTTGTGCAGTGTCTGGTTATTCCTGTTTAATGGCAACTTTGCAGCTGGACTTTAGGGGCAGGTGGAATCATAGACTCATAGAATCACAGCATGGTTTGGGTTGGAAGGTGTATTGCTAAGTAGGTGCAATGCCTTGGAGTCTTCTGGGCTCAAACCTGTTCTGCAGCTTTTGTTATTTTTGTCTGGCTCCCTTTCAGCTAGAGATTAAAGATCACAGCAATTGGAAAAGAGACAGCATGTATCTATGTTCCTCCTGACATTACTAACCTTGTCTTGTTCAATTTGGCACATGGACTGAATAGCTTGTAAGTTCCATAAGCTCCCAGCAGTTGTGGACATAAATACCAGCTGGGAATAGCTCTTTTCTGAAAGAAAGAAAATAAAAATATATATAAAAAGGATTAGATAATGAGGATGAATCAGCCAAGCTGCTTGTGTAGACTGTTCATAGGGAAAAAATACATCTATATCACTGTCTGTATAACTGCTGTGGAGGATCCCTGATGGGAACCAGGTCACAGACTTGTAGTGAGTGGTAGCATCTGCCTGATGTGACCTGACCTCTGCTCCTCTCCCATCTGTCAGCAGCAGGAGAGCAGCACTGGGGTGTTTTCAAACACACTCTCCATGCTGTCAGCATGCTTCTAGTGATGACTGGTGTCCGGTTCTGCATCCCTGCTCCAAGTGAGGAGCTTGGGTTCAGCCAGCATCCCCCAAGGACCTGCAGGTTTGGGGTTTGGTTTCAGAGGGGGTGTAGAGGCAGGGAAGAGAATAAAAGTATCTGCATGCTGTTCCTCTTTTTTCTACTTACTAGCACCCATTTTGGGACAAATTTGGGGAGTACTGGAGTTTTCTACTTTTCTCTCCAGGTTTTACTGCCATTTATGTTTCTTAAGAAGAAAAGAAAGAACAGAGAGGGAATGTGAACAGAGAGGGAGTGGGCATGTGCCTTTTTTTCAGAGTATTCAGTTTTGATATGGGTATGTGGTGGTATTAGTCCTTTTACTGGTGCTGTTAAGGTATATTTCTGTGTAGGTATATAAGGTGTATTTCTATGTGTGTAGATAAGGTTTATTTCTACCTATGTGTGTTCTACCTGGAAGGTGACATAGCTCTCACAGGGTGGGCTGGGACACGCTGCTTTCTTAGAGCATATTCAGAACATTTCCTTGTGTCCTAAACCTCTCTGACAGTTCTGGGTGCTGTTGAGTTCTGGGGTTGTGATACTCAGTAAGACTTCACTCACCTGGGGGACCACAGAAGAAACCATCTGCTCCATAGATTTGTTCCACCATTCTCCGTGTCCTCACTTCTTGTTCTCCCTGAGCAGCTTTCTGTCCTCTGCTAATGTCGATGTCATCATAGCTAGCAAGAGATCAGATCATTGTTTTAACTAGGGATCATCTGGCTCTGAGTTACACTCACTGACAAGGCTCTGGTGCCACACACAACACTACTGCAGCATTAAGGGTCCTCACAACCCTCAAAGAGCATTGCTTGGGTGGGAGATTTTTAGTATCAGGGTGGCTGTGCCACTTTAAAGGGATCTTCATGAGACTGAGTGGGAAACCACATCCCCTTGTGCAGACATGCTCAGTTGCCTCTGCAGTCTCTTAAAGGTAATCAGTGCAGTAAAGGTAGGAAAAGCTCAGAGGCTAATTCCTGCTTTCCAGAATAGGAAGTCCGCTGCAGGCAGAGACTTGAAACTCTGCAGTGCCTTGCTTGCTTTTAAATAAAGGCATGTATGTTGTAACTCACATAGGTATCTTGCAACACTGAATCAGTATCTTTACAGCCGGCATCTTTCTCAATTTCGCAAACCACCTAACATACCTTTTCTTTTTGGCATATGGAGAAAGGGACAAGGTCTTCTTGTAGCCTGTGTGGCTCTCAATGTTCCTCCACACAATGAGCTTTCTGCCAATGTCGGTATCCCGTGGCTTGAAACCCTGCAGCCAAGCAAAGGGGTTTTGTCATCGGCGTTTAGTTTAGCTCAGCTTTCCTTAATCCTCCTCCTCGAACAGAAACTGGATGAGATTATTACTGCATCTTGGAGAGAGGCACAAATTGAATTTCCTCTGGAAATACTGCATTCCCAGAGCTGACAGGACAAAAAAATCCCCTTTCCTGTCTAGGGAAGGATGGTTACAGTTCTCTCTCCCTGAGAACATTAAGGCTCTTCTCCTCTTCAAGTAAAATAGTCATTCACAGAAATGGGAGTCGTTTTCCTCTTCCTGGGCAAACTCTAGTCTATTCTTACTTTTCCCAGATTCTTCATTAATGAGAGACAGGGATGACTTTAGAAAATGTGGGATCCTGCACAGAAACTAAGGTCCTGTGCAGCAGTGCTCAAATGGGGTAGTCCCCCCATTTCAAGAGCTTCACATAAAGGCTGTAGGAGCCAAAGCCAGATCCTCCATCCTATCTCCATCAGCCCAGCTAGTCCTTTTTGAGCAGCCCCAGCCTTCCAGCAGTGGAAGGGGAGCAAGAGGAGCATCCTGGTTTGTGTGGGAAGGAAATTAAAGGCTCATTTTACATGGCAGAAAGAATATATCAGTTTGGTCATGGATTTTCCTTATGTTCATGTCGATGTATGATCTGTAGGCACTTACCAATAAGGGTTCTGAAAAGTCAGGCAGATTCCCAACCAGCAGAGCAGTGACGGTGCAGACCACAGCCACCACTGAGCACAGCACCAGCACAGCCACCGGCCACTCTGCCACCGCTTGGGAGTAACTGGAACCAGTGGGAGAAGGGAAAAGACAGCTGTTAATGTGGCCTGCTGTTAGCACAGACCTGTTGGTGGGCAACCAGTGAGTAAAAGGAAGTCAAAGAATTCGGGCTTTCTGGGTTTGACCATTGCAAAGCTCGGAGGCTCTTGTGCAGTGATTCATGAACATGTTACACCTCCAACTGCATGTGTGCAGGCAATCGTAATTAACTTGGGGAATTACATTTTGCCTCCCTACATTTCCCTGCCTTTTCAATCAGAAATAATAAAACCCAGACTCTTGCATCCTAGGGCAAAATGAAGCTTTGCATATTTAACTTTGACAGATTGCATTTAAAAAGAGCTTCTTCCTTTTTTCCCCCTAGCTCTGCAGTGTAAGCTTGTAGCTGACACATTGGCCAGCACATTCACAGTCTGTGGACCCTGGGGAATCTTTGTGCTAATCTGAAGTTTTCCTTAAAGAAAACTAACTCAAGTCCATTGTCACTGGGCTAAATTCCCTCACTTCATAGGGAATTGTGTGGACATCTGCATGGCAATAAAGGATGGAAGCTGCTGAGGTGATGTGTAACTGATGGGAGGATTGCCAACAGCAGTCACAGCTCAGGCAGGCACCTTCTGCACCCTGGTGAGTGAATCCTGACTCCTGATCTCAGCCTCAAAACCAGTCCCTGAACCTACAAGAGCTTCTGCACACACAGCAGAGCAGGTACCCTTCAGGGTGTGGAGAGCACACACAAGCCCATGGCCTGGCTCTGCCTGGAACATCTCTCAGTGTGGCACACACAATTTTAATGCCATTTCCATACAAACAAACCCTTTCCAGAGAAGCACCTTACTCTGTCTGAAAGTATTTTTACCAGTTACTTATTAAGAGCTAGTCTAAAAGTTTCCATCCAAGTCCTGTTTTCTCCTGGGACAAACTGTCTCTCCTATAGGATGATCTATCAAAGTTCCTATCCTACAATGTTTTACCAGTGCAGGTTTTACTGCAGGGAAATTTTTGTCTTCCTCAGAAATATCTGTTGAGATACAAGATACCAGAATGGTTCCTGCTCTGCTTTGGCAGGTT